TGCGTGGGTTTCCTCCGGGTGCTCCGGTTTCCCCCACAGTCCAAAGACATGCGGTACAGGTGAATTGGGTAGGCTAAATTGTCCGTAGTGTATGAGTGTGTGTGTGTGAATGTGTGTGTGTGGATGTTTCCTAGAGATGGGTTGTGGCTGGAAGGGCATCCGCTGTGTAAAAAATGTGCTGGATAAGTTGGCGGTTCATTCCGCTGTGGCAACCCCAGATTAATAAAAGGACTACGCCGACAAGAAAATGAATGAATGAAAGTATATAATTAAGTGTACTTCTTCTATTTACACACTTGAGTAAAAGAGCATAACCCTGAGTATTGTTTTAATTGTAGGCCATAAGCAGGTGTATAGAACTGCAATACTAGGTTATTCTTTGCCATACACTTTTGTTTTGTAAGCAGTTCATCAATCGTAAGAAATGCTGGGTTCCATACATTGGATTTGTGTTGTGTCATCATGAAGGAATTAAATTAAATTATTAGTTTTTACAAATTTAAGTGAATTGATCATAAAAATCACTGTAAAACCCAACAGTGAAAATCCCTAAATAAAATTAGTATAATAAAAAAAATACTTTGACCTAATGAAAAAGAGAACTTAATATCTGATTACACTAAGCAGAACTCAAACCAAATGAGTTATGAATTAGTTGATTAGATTTTTTGTGTTAACTTTAATGCAATACCAAACAATTTGAGTAACTCTATAGATGTTTGGACTTTGTTTTGTTCTATTAACTGAACTCATATCAATTTGACAACTGAACATGTTTAAATTACTACAACTCTGAATATTTGATGATAACAACACAAATTATATACGTGTATATCACTCAATATATACATAAGTTTACAGTACTCAAAACATTTAGTTTCAAAACATAAATGGTTTGCCGCAACAGTTTGAGTTAACTTATCAGGTTTTACAGTGAAATAGAAGAATTGTGTTGTTTCAGCTCATTTTAAATAGTTTGATCAAGCAGGAAACATAACTGATTACCAGAACTGTGCTAGTACAGTATATAAAATAATTATAAAGCCGAACAGAAAACATCCAATTTACAAAAGATCATCTGCAAGTAAGTGATCATGTTGTAAAGGACAAATCATTTCAGGGCTCTGGGCTGCAATGCATTTTAAATAGCAATCAAAGATCACAAAACTAAATCAATACAGTAAATATGACAAAGTCCGGCTTGCTGATAATTATAGCACCTCAACAGCTCAACAAACACATTTTCTTAAGAAACCATAAAAATCAGACGAGCTGCACGTTTTTGATTTGAAGCCAAACAGACTTTGACATCAAGCCTGACACACATCAGTGACAATACACTGCTCATTTTTATTCCAGAGATAAAATTTATAAATAGCGAGGCTACTTCCTCATTCCACACAAATCACCATGCTGCTGCGAAAAATACACTGGATCTCCTGTAAGTCTGTTTATTTCAGTTTTATTTATTGAAATATTCATTTAATTTAAAAACTTTCATTTAAAATAACTTAAATAGCATGTTAATTTTAAATAAAGAGAGAAAACCTTTAAAATTTCACAGTTTGAGTAAATTTTACAGGAAAATACTGTTTTTTACTTAGGCATTTTATGTAGTTTATTTTCCATTTTTCACTAATTTGACTACAGCATTAACAATTGTTTTAAATTACACAGTAACTGCGATTTACTGTATGACAGTTATGCAGAATTTTAATGTATTTTAATGTTGCAAAACAGTAGAAATACAGTAAAAAAAGAGCTTAAAACTTAGCCAATCATGGGAAATATGGTAATTTAAAGCAAATAGAAAGTAGTAAATACAGTAAATACTGAGCTTAAAACTTAACCAATCATGGAAAAATACTGTAATTTACAGTAAGCAAAAAGTAGTAAATACAGTAAATACTGAGCTTAAAACTTAACCAATCTTGGGAAATACGGTAATTTACAGCAAATAGAAAGTAGTAAATACAGTAAATACTGAGCTTAAAACTAAACCAATCTTGGGAAATACGGTAATTTACAGCAAATAGAAAGTAGTAAATACAGTAAATACTGAGCTTAAAACTTAACCAATCTTGGGAAATACGGTAATTTACAGCAAATAGAAAGTAGTAAATACAGTAAATACTGAGCTTAAAACTTAACCAATCTTGGGAAATACTGTAATTTACAGCAAATAGAAGGTAGTAAATACAGTAAATACTGAGTTTAGAACTTAGCTAATCATGGGAAATACGTTAATTTACAGTAAATAGAAAGTAGTAAATACGTTAAATACTGAGCTTAAAACTTAGCTAATCATGGAAAATACTGTAATTTACGGTAAGTAAAAAGTAGTAAATACAGTAAATACTGAGCTTAAAACTTAACCAATCTTGAGAAATATGGTAATTTACAGCAAATAGAAAGTAGTAACTATAGTAAATACTGAGCTTAGAACTTAACCAATCATGGGACATACGGTAATTTACAGTAAATAGAAAGTAGTAAATACAGTAAATACTGTAAAAACGTAAAAATACAGTTTTACAGTATATAGATAATGAATTAACAGTGATTATTATTGTTATATGAAAATATATCATAGGTACTAAAATACTGTATATTTTACAGTAAAGATAAACAATGCTGTAAATACATGTACAGCAAGAAAAATGTACTGTAGATATTATTACAGTATTTTTGCTATAAATTAGATTTACAGTAAATTGCTAGCAAACTGAGTTACTGTAAATTATACAGGAAATTGTTAACAGTATACAGCATATTATGTGTGAAAATTATGTAGTTTCTATTATTTTCCATGTAGATATTTTAAACTAAATGTTTTATTTTGGATTTTTGCAGTGATTATTTTACTGTGCCGACAAGGTAAGGTCTTAATGAGCTGTTTTACCAATATAATAAATACTATGACTTTTTAAAGAGATAGTTCACCCAAAAATGAAAATCATCTCATTATTTTCTCTCCCTCGTGTGCTTTTGAGTTTCTTTCCACTGTTGAACACAAAAGAAGATATTTTGAAAAATGCTGGAACCCTTTTACTTACATAGAAAAAAAATGACTTTGCAAGTCAGTGGGTGCCAGACCCCAGCATTTTAAAAAATATCTTCTTTTTTGTTTAACAACAGAAAAACTCTAATAGGTTTTGAACAAGTATAAAGTGAGTAAATGACAGAAGTTTCATTTTTGGGTGAACTGTCCCTTTAAATAAGCTACTTTCAATACATAATAAACCATTTTTCTTTCTCCAGGCATTGAAATGAAGCGATATTTCACCTGTGAAGGGGGCTCTGTTCAACTGGGTTGTGGTAAGCAATTCATCTATTCATACAAGGTGTGCTGAAACCTCAAAATCATTCATATAATAAGCTTCTGAATGACATTGTGTGTCAGATTGGGGATACATAAAGGTGGTCACAGCTAACTATGGGCGAACCGACCGCACAACATGCTCCTCTGGAAGATTGGCTGAAGAGCTTTCAAACGTCCACTGTTTCCATGAAACATCAGTCCAGATGATGGCCAACCGGTAATCACTTCTGCAAGAGCAAAATAAACTATAGAACAAGATCATAGATCATAAATATCTTAAATCATGTTTTGTCAAATGGATTCGATCATAGATGTGATGGAAGAAAGAGCTGCTCTGTTCCTGCTGTTGACTCGGTTTTCTCTGACCCTTGCGCTGGGACTTATAAATATCTGGATGTGTCCTACTTGTGTCTCCCAGTCAGTAAGTAAATATTTCAATATACACTTTCACTCACAGTGAGGAATATATTAAACAAAACTCTAATATAATTTCATATTAGTGATTTATTAAGATGTAGGTTATTTCTGTGATGACAAAGCTACATTTTGCGCATCATTACTCTAAGATTATGTCACATATACCTTCATTAATTATATATATATATATATATATATATATATACCCTGATTATTTTTTCCAAGATTCTTTGATGAAAAAGAATCATGAGCACATTGCTGAATAATTAAAGTTTAAAATAAAATAAATAAATAAATATACATACATAAACAGCCATGAATATATATACACATGTATATATATACATATATACAGAATATAAAAACTGCATATATCAAATAAAGAGTATAATTGTGAAAACATCAAGGCTTGGGTTCCAGAATATAGTTTATTAATTATTATATCACTTATATTTAAAATTATCTTATTTTTGAAAGCCATTATTACTGACCAATACTCTTTTAACTGTCTGACGTAATTCTAGGAAGAAGTGTGACCTGTGAAGGAAGCCAAGGTCTCATTGACTGTGGTAAGATTATTATTATTATTTTTCTTGTTTATAAGGTAATATTAGGAAATCAAATAAATGAATAGATTAGAAAATAAGGTATTTAATATATAGGTAATATAAGGTCACAACAACAACTTCTACAACAACAACTACTACTACTACTAGTACTAATACTACTACAAGTCATATTAATAAAAACAAATGATGGCACCCATTGACTTGCATTGAAAAAAAAAGACTATGCAAGTCAATGGGTGCCAACTATACATTTTTCAAAAAAATCTTCTTTTGTGTAGAAAAAAATAACTCTAATAAGGTTTTAAACAAGTAAAGATTAAGTAAACGACAAAATTCTTATTTTTTGGGTGAACTGTCCATTTAAATAAACTATAATATAATATATTAAAAATTATATCAATAATAACAACATGGCACAGCAATCAGCTGTAATTGTGCCGGCTTCACGTTTATCCAGCTATTTTGAGAATACTATTTGCTTCACTTTTTTGGTTGACTGAAACAGGTTGTTTGCTAAATGTTTTGTTGAAAGATTTACCCTGGATATAAGGATAACACACAAAAATCAATGAACTGTTGGGTATGTTTTTTTCATTTAAATTCAATTATTTTTTATTATAATTTATCATTTTATTATATAGATTTTTTTATTTAAATGATAATTTTTTTAGATTTCATTTCTGTTTTCATCTACAACTAGTACTACTGCTAATACTCCTGTAATAACTGTGCCTGCTTTATATTTATCCACTTTTTGGGTGGAAATTATTTACATCAGACTTTAATTTGGTTGTTGACTGAAACAGGATGTTTGCTAAAAGTTTTTTTTTTTTTTTTTTTAAAGTTCCATTGGATAAAACTCAAACAAAAATACTTTTTCAATTACATTTAAATGACACTTTTTAGCCCAACTGTTGGCCTTATCAATACAGTTATTTGACCCATGGATTTACAGCAACCCAGTAGAGTATGCTAAATGAATAAATGTAAAGCGGACCTATTATTCCCCTTTTTACAAGTTGTAAAAAAGGTCTCTAATGTCCCATGAGTGTGTATGTGAAGTTTCAGCCCAAAATAGCACACAAATAATGTTTCATAACTCTTTGAATCTGCCCCTTTTAGGGTATGATCCTAACGATTCCAATTGGGTGACTGTCACTTTAAATTTAAATGAGATTGTGCTCTTTCTTTAATAGGGCGGAGCTACAAATGCCTACTAGAAACCATAGTGGCAGATTCAAAAACAAGACTAAGGTCCTATGCTAATGAGGGAGAGATCTTCACTAGTGGGCAGGTCTTTCCTTCTCTGAAGACATGTACAAAGGCAGAATGTCAATCAAACTGTTTCTGCAGACTGTTTTTATGAAATGTGATTTTTAAAAAAGAAGTTACATTTTTACCATTAGAAGCTGGGTATATTCAGATACCCCACATTCACACCCCTTAAAGAAGTTATTTTTGCATAATTGGTCCTCTTTAAAGCTAACCAGCATCAATTCACTGTGTTTAAAAGTAATGCTGTGATTTGGATTCACCATGCTAATTATGGACGCCGGGATCTAGTAACCTGCCCTCACAAATTAGCGACTTCATCAGACTGTTACTCTCCTCAGACCAGCAGCCTGCGCTCCAGGTACAGCAGAAAAACACCATCCACAGTCACAGAGGACAAACAGAAACTTCAGATATACATAGACAATATGCAAAAGAATAACAGGCATAATCAAGATCTGCCAATCGTTATACACAACAGCTTTACTTTAAAAATGCACAATAAAAAGAAAAGACAAGTCATGAATTGTCAGATGTGTTGTAATTAATAAACATTAAAGACACAATTCATAAATAACATTTGTAAAATCTGCATTAAATGATGGTTTTGTTTAATTAATATTTATTTTTCTTATCAGCTGCAATGGAAAGAAGACTTGCCATTTAAATGCCTCAAATTCAGTCTTCTCCAATCAATGCCCAGACGTGCATAAATACTTAGAGGTGACCTACAGCTGTGTATAATACTGTAAGTATCCCGACACTTACATCTATTCTAGATCTTTTACATGGGTTTTTAAATGAAAACAGATTCTATAAATGATGTTAATCTGTTGGTTGTTGTCAAACAGAATTATCATTATAGTTTGCTGTACAAGTGCGATTTTATTTTAAAACATACTAATTCAAATTTGATATAAACCAAACCGGTAAAAAAGATTAACTGGATTTACTTTTATTTTTAAGGTAAGTGGTAGCAAACTATTTATATATAGGCCGATTTTAAACAAACATATTAGGTTGAACATTACTAAATTTCAGTTTTTTTCTCTAAATTCCACTCATATAAATTGTTTGCAACCACATACCATAAAACATTTAACTAAATCCAATGAGTCCTTTTTTTCAGTTGCATTAACATATTTATAATGAATGCAAAGTAATATAAAATAATATATAATACTATTTTCATACAAAATACAGTTATTGGCAGGGTTTAGGTTTATGTAAAGTGTGCTACTTTAGCGTTGCTGCTTGTTTGTTTAAACTACTTATTTAAAATGAGCTGAAACAACACAATTCTTGGGATTTGTTTTGGAACTGAAAACTGAATTTTTTTTATGTTCAATCCACTTAAATTTGTTTGGTTAACTGAATTGATTTGTTTGGGACAACATGAACAAATTATGTGGAACAGCACTTAACACAGCACCTCTAACCCCATACTCTCTGAGCACCCTCCACAGAATGCCACAAGGGACTCGGTTGAATGCCTTCTTAAGTTCACAAAACATATGTGGACTGGATGGGCATACTTCTATGAACCCTCGAGCAACCTGGTGAGGGTATAGAGCTTGGCCAGTGTACCCCGTAGCTTGGACCTAGGTTCCTTGGACCTAGGTTCAACCATTGGCCGGATCCTCCTCTCCAGTACTGTGGCATAGACTTTGCCAAGGAGGCTGAGGAGTGTGATCCCCCTATAGTTGGAGCACACCCTCCGGTCACCCTTCTTAAAAATGGGAACCACCACCCCAATTGCCCAATAAATGATACAAAAGAAAAAAATCTAAAACAGCTCACTTTTGATTAAAACATTGTACCAATTATGAAGGATTCACATTTACAAAAATGTTCCTTTAAAGTCTCTCCAGATAAAAAATCATTGACTGATAAGTGACCTCAAAATTTAGGAAATTGTTGTCATTGGATGTCTTACGTTTTTGTTTTAGACCTTTCGAGAGCCTGTATCAGACTATCAGGTGGTGAGAGAAAAGGCAGCGTCTCAGAGAAGAGATGTTGAACGAGCTCTCACACGCTTCATGGCCAAGACCGGAGAGACGCAGAGCCTATTTAAGGATGACATCAGTGCTTTCCCTTGTGAGTGTAATCATAGAATTTGAGTGTACTGCACTATTGCCTGTTTATTGAATGTGTATTCATATTGAATTTGTATGTGTGTAATCAGTGATCGCTGCAAAACCAAGCCCCATCCCATATCTGAGTGCCCTGCTGCCCTCTGAACTGGAGCTACAGTCACTGGAGGAAACGGATTCGTCTGAGCAGGATGACCAGATGGACAATGATAACAACACCAGTCACATCATGCAGGCAAGATTTAAACCATCTTTCCTTGTCAACATTTTCCATGTTTGTGAATGTAACTAAAATACAGTCAAAACATTAATATCGTGATTCATTTATCGCGATTTATTTATTTAATTATAGTTATTAATTATTGTAAGAGGTGTTTTTTTGTGTTAATATATTGGAAAATATAAATTTTTCATGCAATGGCAAAGCTAAACTTTCAAGAGCCCCTACATAATCCTTTAGAAATCATGCTAATGTGCTCGATTTTTAAAAATTATTCATGTTTCACAAATAAAATAAACAGTTTACACTAAATAAAATGATTTTCTTGCTTAGATTTAGATTTCTTGATTAGATATTTTTGTCTTGTTTCTAAATATCTACAAATTCCTAAATCAAGAAGCATTTTCTAGACAAGCAAAACATATAGTCTTGTTTCCAGAAATAATAGGCCAAAATTAAGTGTTTTTCCTTAAAACAAGCAAAATAATCCTGTTTTTCATTTTTACGTAAGATTATTTTATTTAATTTTAGGATAAATAAGAAAATAAGAGTACGCATAAATAAGAAAAGCGTTTTTTGCAGTGTATGATTTTAATATTTCTGTGGAAACTTATATTTTTAAATATATTTGAGGAGTGAATGGCTAAAATACCATTTTAGGTTTTGTTTGTAATATTAATATTTACTTGAATCAATTTTATGATTTCTATTTATTTATTTACATTATTTACCTAATTTCTGAAGGATCACGTGACACTGACAACTGCTACAAAATATTAGGTGCATTCAACTTGAACCATAGCTGCAGCTGGCAATCAACAAGATTGGGAGGCTGTCAGGTCAGACACCTCGGGGCTGGTATTTAGCTGCATGATGACAAATCAAATCACATGGCGAGATCAATGATTTATTTATATATTAATCCAATCACATTAATCCCAAAAGATTGGACAAAAGAAGTGAAATGCACTTTCAGTGGAAATTTGACAGAAAAAGCAAGATATATCAATGTTACTTTTAAATGTCTTGACAGGATATTATTATTATATTATTTTGTATTATTTTAGAACTATATTATAGAATAATTATTTATCCCAATTTGTTAAGAAAAACGTTATGTTGGAGGCACAATCAATGATGACTATTATATTACAAGTCTGTAAAACTTATTTGAGTTAATATTTGGTTATTTACTAAAAAACATAATTTAAATCGGATATGAAGCTGTATACAGTAAAAGGTCTGTATGAAAATCGTCAAAAATAAACTTATGCAACGAATCTAGCTTTTATAAACAAATTATTTAACAAAAAAGATGATTAGGCCTACTGCAGTAAAATATTTGAAGTCTTTTAATAAGCATGATATGTACAAAATGAATATAGCATAAAAAGTTAATTGTTTGTTTGGAAGTTTGTGAGACGGAAGTTGTCCAATAACAAACCTGAAACACATGTGGTTGTTGTCATGCGAGGAATCCAACCAATTGTATAACATCGGTGTCGTCATCGCAGTTCCTGCAGTCGCTCTTTAGATGCTGCACTGGCTGAATCAGTCGTCTGATCTCAGAGAGCTGTCACGGTACTTTGAAGCCACATGTGGTAGTTACGTGGCGTTGGTGCAGCTTCAAGCCGAACAAAATGTATAATCGGCATGCACCCCTTTAAGACAGGTTTTGGTCAATCTCCACAGCACTGCATGAAGTTGAACGCACCTATTCTCTAAATTCAGGAATAAATTGAAATGGTCATTTGATTTTTTATACGTCATAATATTATTGTTTGTACTAAATTTCTTGTCAATCAAAAGCACTCTTAGTGAGCATAAGTGACTTCTTTAGTATAAACTAATTTTTATTATGTGTTAGTTATTGATTAGTTATTATTATTAACTAATGTGTATTCTTTATGTGTATTTTTCTATTTTTTGTTGTGGAAATGTATGAGATTGTGTGATCCGGAAGTGAATAAACAGAGCAACATGCTGTGATGAATACTGTCTGATGAAGAGCCGGTGTGCTGAAACGTTACACGCTTTGTGTTAGCCTTTTTAATTTAACAAATTGGTGTTTTTTGGAGCTTTGGTTTTGCCGCCTCTTAAATATATTCTTCTTTAGCATTAAAAATATATAGGAATATAACAGGAAAGTTAATTGCTATAATTTGTCAGTGAATATAAAATAAATCAAGATATATATATATATTTTTTTTTCATGAAAAAACATTGATAGTAAAATCAGGTAATAGTCTGTGTTTGTATGTCTATATACTGTACAAATTCATAATTTAACATATTTCATTTCAATTTGTAGGACGACTCCGGTGCAGATAAGGAGAATGAAGTGCTGCCACCTGGTGGTGTTGTGCCTTCAGGCAAGGCCAATGAGGAAAACATGATTGACAACCCATATCTACGACCAGTCAAAAAGCCCAAAGTGAGAAGGAAAAAATGAATTTTGCTCTACTGACTTGGCCACATCTACATCAGTTGTTTCTGAATAAGACTTCTCAGCACTTGCTTTTCACATTGTGCTCCTTGAAGTTAGTACCATATGACAAACTAGAGTCTTCAACGACTGCAATTCAAAAACACGCAGCGATCTATCAGGTTACTGACATCTGATTCTTATTTAATGAAAAACTGTTCTGTACACGTCAATAATATTAGATGGATTTCACATCACTTACGGTTGATGTTTTTTTTTTTTTTTTTGATAAGAATTCCCTTGAAATACCTTGAAGTTTTCAACCCATCTGAAATGTGACGTTTCTTTGGATTTGTGTTTGTTATTCATTTGTGAATGGGGTAATAAATGTCTTTCATTGTTTATTTTTAGCCATTGTTTCAAAAGGACATGTTAAAAAATTAAAAATCAGAATATAGATATATGTGTCCTGTTACTTTGATAATTACTAAAAATATTAATTGATTACACGTTATGTACCTGAAACATCTAATATGTTAAAATATGCTTTCAAAATAGTTCATGGTCATATTCTAAAATGGAAACACAAATCAAGTGGGTAAAACTTGTCTTTTAAAGCTTTAATGTTTGTACACACTTAATTCTTCTAGTAGTATTTTAGTATCATCAGTAAAACAAGTGTAGATATGCCACCCTGTTCCTCTGTTTCCTAAACTCTTTGTCATGGAAAAGCTGCATGAACACAAAATGTATAAAGAAAGATCAATATGAAAGGAATTCATACCCACTAACCTTAGTGGTTGCATTTATCATTAAAAAACAAAAGTCGACCCTATCTGTACCTCTGTCCGCAGTGCTCTTCTCTCCAGCATTGGCACTTTTGTCCAGTCTGGAGAGCCAAATTTCATAGGCCACGACACCTTGCTTTGGATAGCATCATGAGCGTATGCCCCTGGACTAAACAAAAAAAAGGCAAATACAGGAGTTTACAAAGATTATAGTGTTGTCTATTAGTAACTGCAACAAGATGTCATCTAGCAGAACTCCACTGAATGCGGTGGATTTGTGTTTGGATATGTACTGGTAGGAGAATGTTGTGCTTTTTATTTTGAAAATAAAATCCCTTTTGGGAGTGTAGCTAGAGAAGAGGAATTTTGTTTTTGGTTGCACAAACACATTTATCAACACGAGTTTTTGAATTGCAAAATCAATCTGGATGTCAGCTACTTCTGAAAGTGGTCAAAAGTGAACAAGCTCAAAACATGTAGACCTGCATTTAAAGTCAAAAATAAAGTCAACACCATGCGAAAACAGGAGCTTGAGCGTTCAAGAATGTAAAAGTCATTCTGAAATTCACAAAGTTTCAATTCAAAGGGCGGCATGGTTGCCTCACAGCAACAAGGTCACTGGTTTGAGTCCTGGTTGGATCACTGGGTCTTTCTGTGGTGAGTTTGCATGTTCTCCTTGTGTCAAAAAAAGAAAAGGTATAAATGTATCTAGCTATCTGTATAGATAAATTATATTAAATGTTAACATACCCCATTGTTAATATTTGTGCCTAATCACTTCTCCCAAAGTACTGGAAAACTCATGATTTTTGATTATTAAGGAGAATGCTGAGTTGAGGAGCGTTAATAGATTCAGAATTACTGAGAATAAAGACACTTTTGATAGTCAAATATAATTTTACCCAGGGCTGATTTCTGCATCTTTAGGTCTGAATCTTAAAGTGGTACTATTGAAGGGAGCTTTTCCAGGAGGACACACTTTAGGTAGAGTCCAGTCCAGCTGGTATTTCTGTGGTGAAGGGGTGACTGCCTTTAAAAAAAAACAAACAACAAAGCAACAGATTTTTAATTGTTCAATTAAAAACAAAAGAAATGGTTGTGTCTACATGTATATACAATACATACCATGATCAACTGGTCTATAAAGGCAAAAATCAGATTGTGAAGTGTATTTTTATTTTAAGGAATATTTATATTATTTCAATAAAAACAGCATATGTATGCAGATCAAAACAAGTTTTTCAACACGACACAACATTGGAGCCTTTAATTATTAAAAACCTTTGTGATTTAAATTATATATTTAAAATATTTTACGAGAGTATAATGAATGTTGGTTTGTATTTTTTGTTTATTAACTCAATAATGCAGTTTGGCAACACTGCTGCAAAAAGTAAAAGAAACATCACAGAAGTTCTAATGGTTTTCACTACAAATATCAAATAAAAAAACAAAAACATGAAGCGTTAACAAAAGAATTTCACCTACAAATCAGAGAAGGGCACAGATATAACATTTCCAAGCAAAATATGATTGCCTTCTATTAAAATGCTATCAATATTCGACTTATGATTCTGCTTTTATTTATTCATTTTTTAATTTTCCTTCAGCTTAGTCTCTTTATTCATCAGGGGTTGCTACAGCGGAATGAACCGCCAACTCATCCAGCATATGTTTTACACTGCGTATGCCCTTCTAGCTGCAACCCAGTACTGGAAACATCCATTCACACTTATTCACACACATTCACTACGGCCGGTTTAGTTTTATTCAGTTTACCTATAACTATAGCTTATGTCTTTGGACTTTAGGGGAAACCGGAGCACCCAGAGGAAACCCACACGAACACCGGGAGAACATGCTAACTCCACACAGAAATGCCAACTGACCCAGCCGGGACACGAACCTTGCTGTGAGGCGACAGTGCTAACCACTGTGCCACCATGTCGTCACTATTTCTGCTATTATAAATGATTCAAATCTTAATTCAAGTGATGAAAACTCTATAAACCTAGGTGTGTGCATGGTTTCCCTCAATGTCTTATCCATTGCAATTTCTATTAAAAGTTTTTATATTTTATTGTGTTAGCTGACCGTCTTGTAGTGTAAATATATGCTTTTATGGTGACAAAAATAATGTAGTGTAAAAAAGCCATATGTTTAATTGTGGCAAACGTTATAAACTATACCTTTAAAGCCGGCAGGAATCGTGATGCAGTGCGGGCTGCAAACACATATCCCCTCTTACTCTCAGGTTTGTGTTGGAGTTCATACAGAAGTGTGCCAACCTGCGAAGTTAAAATGACACGCTCATTAACATTATTACTGATACTAATTATTATAGTTTTTTTTTCTTTTTGCCTCATGTTTTAAAAATCCATTATCCATTAATTCTCACCGTGTGGTTGTCGTAACATCCGGGTCCTCCTTCAGCTGAACCAAACTGTGAGAGCATTTCATTTCCCATTCGGTCAGGCGCAAAGTGCGTCGGAAACATGAGACGTTTCTGGCAGCTGCCGAAAGCGACTCTTGAAACTTGAGTTGAGAAGAATTAATGAAGAAAATCATATTTAATGGAAGATTGTGTGTTTTTTGCTAGTAACGTAATGGTGAAATAAATTACCTGAGCCCCGTGTCGCCATAGCTTCCGGATGTTTACTGGTAAACATGGCAACCAGGTGTAAATGAATGCTGATGATTTTTAGCAATATATAGTTTTTTTGTGAAAAACCATGGAAAATAATTAAACGATGATGCTTCATATGGGGGCTTCACAAGAGCTTCACAAGAGCTTATAAAATGTAACAATGCTATTTAGTATTTGTTATATTTATTTATTTAGTATTTAGCCTATATATATATATATATATATATATATATATATATATATATATATATATATATATATATATATATATATATATATTTATATATATATTGTACCACACATTAATTACAAATCAGCTGATCTAACGTTAGACAGGCAAAAATCGGTTTGGCGGTTTTAGACTTAACTAACGTTACGTTAAGCATTTGAGTGTGTTTTCTCTTTTTAGAAATATTTAGCTTTTATTCGGCTACTTAAAAAACAAAGTGGCGCAGAAGAGTGCATAAAGTTCAAGAGGGTTTCTATAATGTTTGTAAAAAGAATTACAAACAAATCATGAATTAAAATTCAAATGTTCTGGTTAATAAAAGCAAATAATTAGAAAAAAGTTTAATATTACATTTTTTGAGCTTTTTTATGGTATTAAACAGTAATTATCTAAAGCAGTGATTCTCAAATTATTTTCAAGTACTACCTTCAAAATTGTCTCTCCAAGTACCACCATAATGACCAGTATTGAAATACAGTAGCGTAGTAGGCCCAGTGAAGCAGTTACAGCTCTGCACAGTTGAAAAACAAGGCAGATTAATTCCTATTATTAAGAATATTATTGTCAGCCACTTTAAACATTATAAATAGTTTTAACATTAACACTGTACTGTGCTTACAGACAAAAACAAACAAACAAACAACAAAATAAAATGTCAACATTTAAATTGAAATGTGCTTTTAAACTACTGTTCTTAAAAAAACTCCAGTGCTTAAATGTAATATGTATGTTGCACCTTATATATAGGCTATATGTCATCATATTCATAATTATTTTGCTAAATTTTGAAATATATGTTACATGTACACATATGACATATTTGATTCCTCCGCATACCACTAAGAGAGTCCATGTACCACTAGTGGTACCACAGTTTGAACCACTGATCTACAGTATCAAAATCAAAACATTAAGATAAATAATTAGATGTGGTCGAAACTAAAGAGAGAAGTAAAAGAAAAACATCCAAGATTTCCGGGGTCATAAAACAGATTTATCATATAGTTGATAATAGTATCATGAGTTTCAACTACACTATTATGTTCATTTCTTATCTTGATTTATATCATTTTCAATTGGTTTATATGTATTGCATTATCCTTGAAGCTTGATTAAAAGTGACACCTGGCATGTTAAGGATGAACTGGAGTGAATTAACAGCTCTCTCTTCCACCCTATTGTGTGTGGCACGTGCGTAACCACTGGCTACTTGAGAGTACTCACTTTACCTCACTTACTGTAACTGTTAACTGTAAACTTTATTGTCCCCTTCTGGAGTAATTTGTTGTGTAGCTTAATAGATTTACACAATTCACAACACACACATAAAAAAAAAAAAACAACTCACAGCATCAGAAGTACAAACAGCGGCAACTTCTTCCCCTTAAAATTCAGAAAATCTTAGCAACAAATTAAAATCATTTTTTTTCAATGGGACCCATACCGAGATCCTGAAATAAGGCTTTGAACTGAATCAAAAAGAGGGTGCACACTGAAACCTGAGACAAACATTCAAATTAAAGATTGGGTTTAACCTGAAGACCGAACTCTTGTTACAGCAGTTCATTCAGTCATCTGAGTGCACTGCTAAAGAAAACACATAAGCAGCATTATTGCTTTTCAGAATCTTGCCTGTCTTAAAATTTCAAAAATTGTAAACTGAATTTCCTCATTGCTCATCCAAAGTAAACAAGAATTTCCTTTCCAAAGAATTTCCTTATAACACTCATTTGTTATCAACAGATAATGATTTATAAAGTCTGCGACTGTTATATATACCATGCGCTCAGATGTCTAGAAACAATTCCAGAATTACCCCTCCATCCACACATTCAACATGTTGGTGCACAAGCTGAGCCTGATCATTTGTAAGTCTTGCTTTACAACCAATTCATATTTATTCATTTTAATATTTTCTGTTTTAACTTGTTTGTGTTTGTTTGATTTCAGTGATGCTGTTGCTGTGTCACCTTGGTGAGGCAACAGATTCATTCATAATGTCTCTTTAGCTTAAAAGGACTTTCAAGTATACACTAAAAAATTACCTGTTTAAACTTCTTCTAAAACGAATTGCAACAACACAATTCTTAAGTTTTTTTTTTTTGAGGGGGACAACCGAATCATTTGAAGTTCAATCCATTTAAATTTGTAAAAATAATTAAGTTAACTTAATTAATTTGTGTTGGGACAACATGAAGGTATCATATAGAGCATTTTTTTTAGATCAATCTTATTTTTTTACAAGTCATTTTACCTTCTCACATACCTGCAGGTGTAGACGCTAAAAGAACAGTCACTTGTGAAGGAGGATCTGCACACCTCAGCTGTGGTAAGCAATGCATTCATTATGTTCAATGGAAAATTATTATTAAATTTGGACTTTTTCTTTTGGTCAGAAAACAATCAATTAACTCCCCCAAATTGTGTATTTGTTTATTTCTTTGTAATATGTCAGACTTGGGATTCGTAAAAGTCCTTGAAGCTAACTTTGGACGGACGGATCGTACAACATGCATTAGTGGGAGACCAGCAAATCAGATCAACAATGTACACTGCTTTAGAGAATCATCCCTCAGTACAATGTCAGCTCGGTAAGATTAAGATTTTTACCCCAAAAGTTACACGTGTTAATAATTTCTCACCCTCATCTTGTTCTAATCCTGTAAAACCTTTATTTATCTTCAGAACACAAATTAAGCGATTTTAGATGAAATCCTGGAACTCTCGGACCTTCCATAGACAGCAATGGCCACAAAATATTCAAGAGTCCAGAAAATGAATGAAAACATCAAAATATTTCATGTTACTTCAGTGGTTCGACTGTGCCAAGAACACTTTTCTGTGGCAAAAAAAACTGAAAACGTTTTGTCTTCAGCCTCAGATACTGGTGTGTGTTTACTACTGTGTAATACAACACATGTTGCTCTGCTAATTCTAATGGCCACACTGCCTGTAGTAAATGTGCACCATGACAACCTGACGCAAGAGAGAAGATGTAGGCGAACAGAGATGAAGTTACTGTTTTATGGTGCAAAAAAAAAATGTTCATGGACCTTCTCATGATTAAAGTTGAACCACTGAAGTCACATGGAATGTTGTGACAATGTTTTTGGTTCCTTTTCTTGACTTTGAATGTCTCAGGACCATTAGAGGATGAGGGGGCTCTCAAATTTCATCTAAAATACATGTGTGCCAAAAATAAATGAATAATTAAGGGTATTGGTATAGGCGTGAGTAATTAATGATCAAATTTTTATTTCTTGATGAACTAACCCTTTAAGTACCTCTTCCCGTCTGTTCATGTTTCAGGTGTGATGGAATTAAAAGCTGTTCAGTTCCTGCAGTGAACTCAGTTTTCTCTGATCCTTGTTTTGGAACTCATAAATTCCTGGATATTACGTATGACTGCATCCCATCAAGTAAGCGGGTTGTTTTACACACAATTTCCACTGTAAATCTAACTGAATCTACATTTCCTCCCTTTTTATATATCCAATAACAGTCAATACAAATCTCTGTTCTCCCTAAAATAATTCTAGAAAGAAGTGTAACCTGTGAAAATACCCAAAGTGTAATCGTTTGTGGTAAGATTCTCTTTTCTTTTTATTTCTATGCTCTGATTATAACAATATTGCTTTCTTTTTGTAATACATGGGAGTCTTTTAACTTATGAACCATGTCTGCATATAATTTTCAAATACATTTTTAAAGAATTTATTGTTGCCAAAGTAACTTCTGTCATCATTCACCTGATTAACAGCTCTATTATCTGATAACTCCGTTACAGGAATTAAGCCACAAAGTAATTTTAATTCATTTCAATATTATTATAACTCACAAAGAGAAAAATGCAACTACATATTTGTACTATTCTTGAAAAGAAAAAAAAAACTTCTCCTTATTTTTAAGTATTTATAAGTATTGTGAACTTAAATTCTGTCTGTGCAAAGTTGTGACAAGATTTTGGGAGAAAGTGGTAGATTTTGTTTTTAAATGAGATTTTAAAGTTAAATATTAATTTTTACATTAAAAGTTGTCATTTTCTGAAGCAAACGTTACAAAGGATTTTACACAGGCAAAAATGAATCAATTCACCTCCCATATTTACATTTTTAATGTAAAATAATGGAAATTCATGAGATAATATGACAAATTACTCAATCCCTCATTACAGAGTAAGTGTGCATTTTACATTTCATTTTTCTGTGCTATACATACATTTACATGTTTTAATTTAGCAGACGTGTCTATCATAAAAAGTATTTTGATCCCGTAGAAATATTTTTTAGCTGAAACGTCGATTGCTGATGAATCACATTATGAAAGTTAACAAACATATGCAAAAATACTGGCTCCTGATGTTACACTGAGGTTTTAAATGAAATGACCACAGTCTGTGCAAGAAACTAAACCTCATTATCTTTAATCCAGCCTCGCCACATGGTACTGGAATCTGAAACCAATTAATTTATGCCTTTACACACTTAAAAGTAAACCAATGCTTATTAAATGCTCATCATCATTGTCTGTTTTCATGTTTCAAAAGGTTCTGGTGTTATTTTGGTTCATTATGCCAACTATGGACGCCGTGATCTCTCCACCTGCCCTCATAAATTGGCAAAGACACCACACTGCTACTCTCCTCAGACCAGCAGCCTGCGCTCCAGGTACAGCAGAAAAACATTTACCGTAGCTCACTATTTTTACCATAGCTCACTATTTATGTAAGTCATACTCTGCCTGACATTATCATGTGTCTTGCAAAGCTAATTTATCACATTAATCCAGACATAACAATATTGATTTGAGTTTGTTACATAAAAAAGGTGCTGCCTTTTAATAAAACAGCTATTTAGATGAAGAGTATTAATATTTGTTGTTGTTTTACCTCATCAGATGCAATGGGAAGAAGTCTTGTTCTCTGAGCGCTTCAAATTCTCTCTATTCTGATCCATGCCCGCGTGTCAACAAGTATCTGGAAGTGACATACAGCTGTGTATAACTTAACAATTATCATGTCACACAAAAGTAGTCAATTTGTGTATCCTTTAATACGAATTGTTCTCTATAGATGTTTATAGCAGATACTCTTGGTTTGAGAAATTGATTAAATGTGTATCTAGTCATGCTGTTCTCTGTGTTTTGTGTAGTTCTGTAATAAAGGACTTTTATTTTGAATCGTTTTATATTTTCATTGTTTCATTTTCACTTTCTGTGTTAAGTTACTGGGTTTAACTGCACTTGTAGGGCATTTTACAGTAGTACTGGCTATGTTATTATTTTAAATTTAATAATAAACTCTTCATGTTTAGTATATCTGATATAATACAGTGAAACAACCCCACAAACTACAGCCAAAGAGAGGGATAAAAAGTTTTGTTGTTTAAATCTATTAATGGCATTAAAATGGAACTGAATTGATAGTAGAAATAAAAAACTGAAGAAATGTTAAAACACTCAAACAAAAAACCATAAACACCATGTTCAATGGTTAGGAAGAAACAGCAAATAGAGAAACAGCCGAACAGACAAATTCACAAGATTAAACTTAAGCACTGGTTCAATGATACATGTGTGAATAAAATATGATGAATTAAAGTCTCACATCCTAAGAAATTCAAAAATGGTTTCCATTACTAAACCCAACACATAAAACACTCCTCCAAGTGTCTAATGAGTGAATCATTTAGCACAACTTGTTTTTGCAAAGAAATAAAAATAGATAAAAAAAAGTCACCTCACTTTAGGACTAAATGATTTTAGAAAACATTCTGTTATATTTTTGACCAGCATTGTGATGGCAATTTAATGTCGTTTCAATATATGTGCCAACATATGGGCAAAGTTTCTAATCCTGATGTAAAATATGATTAACAAATCATATAAATTAATAATAATTTGAGCATGTCATTTACCATGCTTTTTTTGGGACAGATACACAAACAGAACACAGTGTTACTATCCCTGTATTTGAAACCCTTTAAGTGTTCATTGTTGAGTGATGAGACGGATACAGAGTTCCAATAATGGCCAATAATGAGCACTAACGTTGTCTCAGTCACAATTCACAAACACTCCCGGACAGCATGAACACAATTCCATAGAGCACAGCAATACACTTTTCTTCCCAATTAGAACATATGACATTTTTTAAGGACTACATTGCCCATAAAGCATTTCCTTATGGACTACAACGTCTGAGTACTTTTTCGTTTGTCATTTTAGGGCAAAAAAAAAGTTCTGAAAAGCTAAATGACGGTGTACAGTGCAAGAATAGTCCAACAGCCCTGCACTGTAGGCGTGCTGTTAGCTAAAGTTAAAAGACTTACACATAAAGTAGGCTATTAGTAGCTATAGGTCTGAACAAGTTCACTTGCATGCAAATGAAAAACATGATTGTGCACACTGTCTTTTTACGGGTTTTTACTCTAAAAAAAAACATGAAATAACGGCCTTTAACTTACAAAAATGTACAGTAAAATAATGGAAATTAAATTACAAAAATTTCCTTACATTTAAATTTCTGTGAGCATAAAAAACACTGTAAAACCTAACAGTGAAAATCACTAAATTAAATAAGTTAGTTTAACTTATAATAAAAAATACTTTGACCTAATAAAAAAGAGAACTTAATATCTGATTACACTAAGCAGAACTCAAACCTAATGAGTTATGAATAAGTTAATTCGATTTTTTGTCTTAACTCTAATGCTAGAAGCAATACCAAACCATTTGAGTAACTCTATAGATGTTTGGACTTTGTTTTGTTTTATTAACTGAACTCATATCGATTTGATGACTGAAAACGTTTAAATTAACATTGCTCTAAATATTTGATGATAACAACACAAATAATATATGTGTATATCACTCAATATATACATAAGTTTACAGTACTCAAAACATTTTCGTTCAATGGTTTGCAGCAATCGGTTTCCTCAAACAGTTTGAGTTAACTTATCAGGTTTTACAGTGAATTAGAAGAATTGTGTTGTTTCAGCTCATTTTAAATAAGTAGTTTAATTAGCAAACATAATTGCTTCTGAATATCAAGAGGCATTAATAATTAGCAGAATTTTTCTAGTAAAGTTATATAAAATAATTATAAAGCCAAAGAGAAAACATTCAGTTTACAAAAGATCATCTTCAAGTAAGTGATCATGTTGTAAAGGACAAATCATTTCAGGGCTCTGGGCTGCAATGCATTTTAAATATCAGCAATCAAAGATCACAAAACTAAATCAATACAGTAAATATGACAAAGTCCGGCTTGCTGATAATTATAGCACCTCAACAGCTCAACAAACACATTTTCTTAAGAAACCATAAAAACCAGACGAGCTGCACGTTTTTGATTTGAAGCCAAACAGACTTTGACATCAAGCTTGACACACATCAGTGACAAACACTGCTCATTTTTATTCCAGAGATAAAATTTATAAATAGCGAGGCTTCTTCCTCATTCCACACAAATCACCATGCTACTGCGAAAAATACACTGGATCTCCTGTAAGTCTGTTTATTTCAGTTTTATTTATTTAAATATTCATTTAATTTTAAAAGCTTTATTTAAAATAACTCAAATATCTTGTTAATTTTAAATAAAGAGAGAAAACCTTTAAAATTTCACAGCTTGAGTAAATTTTACAGGTAAATACTGTTTTTTTATTCAAGCATTTCATAGTTTATTTGCCATTTTTCACGAATTTGACTACACCGTTATCAAATGTTTAAATTACACAGTATGTAACTGCAATATGAACTGTGTTTTACTGTATGACAGTTATGCAGAATTTTAATGTATTTTAAAGTTGCAAAACAGTAGAAATACAGTAAAAACAGAAATACAGTAAAAAAAGAACTTAAACATAGCCAATCCTGGGAAATACTGTAATTTACAGCAAATAGAAATTAGTAAATACAGTAAATACGGAGCTTAAAACTTAGCCAATCATGGAAAAATACTGTAATTTACAGTAAGTAAAGAGTAGTAATTACAGTAAATACTGAGCTTAAAACTTAACCAATCATGGGAAATATTGTAATTTACAGCAAAAAGAAAGTAGTAAATACAGTAAACACCGAGCTTAAAACTTAGCCAATCATGGGAATTACGGTATTTTACAGTAATTAGAAAGTAGTAAATGCTGAGGTTAAAACTTAACCAATCACGGGAAATACGGTAATTTACAGTAAATAAAAAGTAGTAAATGCTGAGGTTAAAACTTAACCAATCATGGGAAATACGGTAATTTACAGTAAAAAGAAAGTGGTAAATACAGTAAACACTGCGCTTAAAACTTAACCAACCATGGAAAATACAGTAATTTACAGCAAATATAAAGTAGTAAATACTGAAAAAATGTAAAAATACAGTTTTACAGTATATAGATAATAAATTAACAGTGATTATTATTTATTATTATTATTGTATGAAACTATACCATAGGTAGTAAAATACTGTATATTTTACAGTAAAGATAAACAATGCTGTAAATACATGTACAGCAAGAAAAATGTACTGTAGATATTATTACAGTATTTTTGCTATAAATTAGATTTACAGTAAATTGCTAGCAAACTGAGTTACTGTAAATTATACAGGAAATTGTTAACAGTATACAGCATATTATGTGTGAAAATTATTAGTTTCTATTATTTTCCATGTAGATATTTTAAACTAAATGTTTTATTTTGGATTTTTGCAGTGATTATTTTACTGTGCCGACAAGGTAAGGTCTTAATGAGCTGTTTTACCAATATAATAAATAATATGACTTTTTAAAGAGATAGTTCACCCAAAAATGAAAATCATCTCATTATTTTCTCTCCCTCGTGTGCTTTTGAGTTTCTTTCCACTGTTGAACACAAAAGAAGATATTTTGAAAAATGCTGGAACCCATTTACTTACATAGAAAAAAATGACTTTGCAAGTTAGTGGGTGCCAGACCCCAGCATTTTAAAAAATATCTTCTTTTTTGTTTAACAACAGAAAAACTCTAATAGGTTTTGAACAAGTATAAAGTGAGTAAATGACAGAAGTTTCATTTTTGGGTGAACTGTCCCTTTAAATAAGCTACTTTCAATACAAAATACACCATTTTTCTTTCTCCAGGCATTGAAATGAAGCGATATTTCACCTGTGAAGGAGGCTCTGTTCAACTGGGCTGTGGTAAGCAATTCATCTACATTCATACACGGTGTGCTGAAACATCAAAATCATTCATATAATAAGCTTCTGAATGACATTGTGTGTCAGATTGGGGATACATAAAGGTGGTCACAGCTAACTATGGGCGAACCGACCGCACAACATGCTCCTCTGGAAGGTTGGCTGAAGAGCTTTCAAACGTCCACTGCTTCCATGAAACATCAGTCCAGATGATGGCCAACCGGTAATCACTTCTGCAAGAGCAAAATAAACTATAGAACAAGATCATAGATAATAAATATCTTAAATCATGTTTTGTCAAATGGATTCGATCATAGATGTGATGGAAGAAAGAGCTGCTCTGTTCCTGCAGTTGACTCAGTTTTCTCTGACCCTTGCGCTGGGACTTATAAATATCTGGATGTGTCCTACTTGTGTCTCCCAGTCAGTAAGTAGATATTTCAATATACACTTTCACTCACAGTGAGGAATATATTAAACAAAACTCTAATATAATTTCATATTAGTGATTTATATATACCCTGATTATTTTTTCCAAGATTCTCTGATGAAAAAGAAGCATAAGCACATTGCTAAATAATTAAGGTTTAAAATTAAATAAATAAATAAATAAATATATACATATGTGAGAGTTACAAAAAATAAGTATCACAACACATAGACACACACAAAAATAATATAAACCATCAAAATCTGGAATTTGTGATAATTCAATTAAGGATAACAATGATGTAATGGTTGAAATATATATATATATATATATATATATATATATATATATATATATATTTTTTTTTTTTTTTTTTCCAGCTGATGAAAGTAAAAAAAAAAAAAAAACTATGACAGCAAATCAGTATCCATCCTATTTTTTTAAGATCTTGAGCATTTCAATTGGCAGAATATAAAAACTGCATATATCAAATAAAGAGTATAATTGTGTAAACAGTTTGGCTTGGGTTCCAGAATATAGTTTATTAATTATTATTATTATTATATTACTTATATTTAAAGTTATCTTATTTTTGAAAGTAATTATTACTGACCAATACTCTTTTACCTGTCTGACGTAATTCTAGGAAGAAGTGTGACCTGTGAAGGAAGCCAAGGTCTCATTGACTGTGGTAAGATTATTATTATTATTTTTAATGTTTATAAGGTAATTTTGGGAAATCAAATAAATAAATAGATTACAAATAAGGTATTTTATATATAGGTAATATAAGGTCACAACAACAACTTCTACAACAACAACAACAACAACTACTACTACTATTAGTACTAATAATACTACAAGTCATATTAATAAAAATAAATGCTGGCACCCATTGAAAAAAATGACTATGCAAGTCAATGGGTGCCAACTATAAAAGCATTTTTCAAAATATCTTCTTTTGTGTAGAAAAAAAGAACTCTAATAAGGTTTTAAACAAGTAAAGATTAAGTAAATGACAAAATTCTTATTTTTTGGGTGAACTGTCCTTTTAAATAAACTATAATAATATATATTAAAAATAATATCAATAATAACAACATGGCACAGCAATCAGGTGTAATATTTAAATTTTAAATTTTTTAATTTTTAATTTTTTAAAAAGTGGTTGTTTAAAAACATTGGATAAAAGGATACACTCAAACAAAAATACTTTTTCAATTACATTTAAATGACACTTTTTAGCCCAACTGTTGGCCTTATCCATATATTTGACCCATGGATGGATTTACACCAACCCAGTAGTGTATGCTACATGAAAATATGTAAAGCGGACCTATTATGCCCCTTTTTACAAGTTGTAAAATAAGCCTCTAATGTCCCATGAGTGTGTATGTGATGTTTCAGCTCAAAATAGCACACAAATAATGTTTCATAACTCTTTGAATCTCCCTTTTAGGGTATGATCCTAACGGTTCCAATTTGGTGACTGTCACTTTAAATTTAAATGAGATTGTGCTCTTTCTTAAAGAGGGCGGAGCTACAAATGCCTACGAGAAACCATAGTGGCAGATTCAAAAACAAGACTAAGGTCCTATGCTAATGAGGGAGAGATCTTCACTAGTGGGCAGGGCTTTCCTTCTCTGAAGACATGTACAAAGGCAGAATGTCAATCAAACTGTTTCTGCAGACTGTTTTTATGAATTGTGATTTTTAAAAATAAAGTTACATTTTTAACATTAGAAGCTGGGTATATTCAGATACCCCACATTCACACCCCATTCACACCCCTTAAAGAAGTTATTTTTGCATAATTGGTCCTCTTTAAAGCTAACCAGCATCAATTCACTGTGTTTAAAGGTAATGCTGTGATTTGGATTCACCATGCTAAT